GGTTAACTGTCACCTTGTAAAGAAATAAAGTTGATCACAAATATATATTTTCCAAAAAAAATAAGTTCTGTTTTCAAATATATATTTTCCCAAAAAACAATGATAATAACAGTAAGAGTTTTCAGTTTTACCCTTTTTTAAAGCAAAGAGATAGATATGGGAATGGCATTTGAGGGCAAACTCATGCAAACAGAGACACCCATATCTCATTAAATACAAAGCATTCAGCCTTAAATATACTGACTAAGAGAACTGTAATATCACACAGGTTTGACTGGATAATTAACGCCTCTGTCTACAAGTTATTTGTACACAAAAAAATTAAATTTCTTTTTCTTCAGCTCTAAAAAAACACCGTGCCATCTTCTCAAAATCTTTCATGTACAAAATTAAAATGTGAAATATGCCTTTTTGGGTAGCTTCAAGAAAATCTCTATGTTGAACAATTCACTAGAAATAAGTGACTAAAACCATTGAAGATTTAAATAATGCAATGCATTTCATGCCCAGCCTGGTGCCAGATTCCAATGAAGTTGTTAATGCATGTAATGATTAAGTGTAACTCAAATACTAACTGTGTTGTTGAAAACATGACAGGCAATAATTTGGTCTATTATATTCCACCATTTAATTGCCTAGTTCAGACATTCTTTGACACATTATGAAGCAATGATTTACAATTATTCAAGCTGCAAAGGTCAGAAAGTGACATTATAATCATCTTCAAAGAGATCCCCTCACATCCTCAAAACAAGGTAATGCAACTAACAACAATTTTACTGCAGTTGTAACTGTTTACAGCTGTATTTTATCTACAATCTGGCAGCCACAAGCATGGGATGCAAAATATACATTAACCTGCCTACAGTAACTCAGGTATCTATGCTTTGTAATGGACAGAATTATTAAATTATGTTAACAGAAACATTCAAATACTGAACATCTATTGCATTTCAAATGTAAAATTGCATACACAGATACCAATGTAATCTGTAGAAATCAGAAGTGGTTTACCATACATAGTATGTAGTTATAAAGATGACTGGAGATATACATTCTACTTTTAACACTATTTTACTGAATATGTTCTATTCTACAGATGAAATATCAGCTGTTGCAGCAAAGAAAAGCATCCAGCCTAGACTGTGGCTTCTGACCACAAAATTGCAGAGTTAATGTTGCTGAAAGATCACTTCACCCTTTAAAGTATAATACTAAAAAAGGTAAAATTTTATGGTAATGAAGAAATGCAGCATGAGCTGCTTATGTTCAGGAACTAATAGGTCCATTGAGCATTCCCTAAATTATTTAGCCATAGATGATAATGAATTGACATTGTCAATGATGTTAATGTAAAATGTTGTATCATGTTAGCCATCAAGATGATACTATAGTACTGTTTCTTCATTTGCATATTCACTTAATTAATATTAAGTCCTAACACAATGCCGTAGGGGTCAAATCTCCGACAGCTGTAATCTGCAGCATTCTTTTGTCTCAGCCCTATCTCCCTCTCCAACTGGTCAAATAAAGCATTGGTGTTTTCAATCATAACCAGCTTGTCTTAGACCATCATTATTAACCCTTGCAAACCAGAACTTCCAGATTGGAAAGCATTTTAAGAAACTACCAGTGCATTTTCCCCTATTATTTAACAGGCTCAGTAAAACAGAGATTATTCCTGTCACTTGAACTGGAAATTCAGCTGCAGAAGCACGAATCAGCACAGAACATGTAGGCTTTGTAAACTGAAAGCATTAATGAAAGTAAGGCCATATTGTAATAACATAAAGCTATGAATCTAAAATAGTGTTTTAATCAGGTTTATAATGGCATTGCAACATTTGGAAGTCAATTTAGTACACAGTACAAACTTTTGCAGTAAACAAATCCACAAAACAATGAATGTGAATTGCCACTTTTGACACCAGTTTCAGTAAATGAACGTTCTGAGGTTGTCTGAGCAGCATAGTATGGTTCATGTATACTATTCTTTCATAGCAAACAAAATATCTTTCCTTTCTCTTCAAAAATACACATGATGGCAGTTAAATTGAGACATGGTTAATTATTCATTTCTCAGGGACTTTAAATAGTATTGTAATTTATTACAATTCTATTTAAATTGTTACTAACAGGTGCTGTTTAATGGTAACAGTTTGATAAATGGGATTTTTTTGGCTTTCTATCAGGGAATCCAATTAACATTCTTGCAAACGTACTCATCTTTAGCTGCCATTTTGTAACTTCTGCTGAGGCTCATTCAAGTTTGTTCCCATGGCTTCTTTTTCTGAAGTCTATTACAAAACTCAACCAGAAATCCAAACGATATTTAAAAATCACACGTCACATTGTGATGTAATGTAATTTGCTTCAGTTTTAGTGCAAAGGTCACCTTTGATCAACAGGTCTCTCAAACATTTTACTCTTTCTTCGCAGAAAAGTAGTAGTTACATGTGTTCACAATAAAATACAATTGAAATTAAAATTTGACAATCTTTAGTAGATTTGGAAGAATTCCACGACATGTAAAATTGACCACGTGTAAAGCAGGAGAGAGAAATGTGCCAGTAAGCAACAAAAGAAAATCACATCATCAAAGCATGGTTCATTTCATAAACAAGTTTATCAGCCTTACCTTATTCTTTGTTCCACTCTGTAGCTGCATTACAGAAGGTTGACGACTAAAACATGGCACTACAGTGACAGGTCTGACACTGATTAAGTTTGGTTCAGTTTTTACATTAGTGCACAATCATGTAAAGTGCAAGATGTCAAGACGCTATTCCATTTTATCAAGCTATATTATTTATAAATTAAGTTAATGGCATTGCACAGGTTACATAGTTACTAAAAACAAAAATCGCACACCACCCATCTCCCTAATTTCAGGATTAAAATGAACATTTTAGAACATGAGTGACTGGGGAAAAAAAAGAAATGTTTGCCCTTTCAATCCAAGCATTTTCAGGAATGCTCCCCTTGCTCGATACCCAACATACAATGACCTGAGTAAAATCACATGCTACTTTCAATCACAAACACAATTTCTTTACGAGGGAAAAACGACTAATTTGACTAATCAGTATTTACTGTGTAAGAAATGTAGTGACTTAAATTGAAACTTAGAGTCAATGTGATCACTAGAAACCAAATCTTATTGGCTGACAGTATGAGAAAAATCTGGGTTAGTAAAAGTGACTCAGAGGCATGTCCTTGCATTTGATACTAATAATCCTTGCATTTGATATAGCGCTTTTCACGTCTTCTAGACATCTCAAAGCACTTCACAGAATAGGCTGTAAAGTGAATTGACTGTATATTTTTGGGCGAAAACGCAGAAGCCAATTGCACACAGCAGTGTCCCACAGTCGTGGATTGAAAATGACCAATTTATTATTGTTTGGTTTTGGAGGGATTATTATGTCTACCCGTGGGAACACCACAATCTACTTCTGACCCATTTGGTGATCTCCTTAGAATGGGGTTCCCGTGGGTCCACGTGATACATTTTCAGGTACTAGTAGTTGTTGCTATTTACAACTGAAGAGCCACTATTACCAACTGATTACGAAACTCATACTAGACCGCAATTTAGGTTGATCACCAAAACTGGTGCTATCATATGTAATGCACTATATAATTATCTCGACTAACAACACAGGAATAGCAAGCACAAGTAAAAATAAATAACCTAATAATCTCAAAAGTTCCAGGAAACTAATAAAGAAATGTGAAATATAACATCAGCTTCCCCAGTAGAAAAAAAAGTTTGAATGAGGTTGTAGTTTTTTCTATTTTGAAACAAGCTTTTTTGGGTAGCCTTCAATTCATGAAAAAGATCATTGGTGAGAAACTCCTCCTGGTCTAGATTCACTCTATTTATGTAGTATTTCAGAGTGTCCAGAATTTGGTAAATTGTTGAATTCAATGTCAACTTTGAAGTCAGTTTTCTGGAGTTCTTTAAGAAGTTATAGAAAACCAACTTAAAAATTCAAGTTCTATTTAGAATTAATTAATTTGCAACATAGAATCAGAGAATTCTACAAATGAGGAATTCTACACTTGGCTCATCACGCCTGCACTGACTATCTAAAAGATTTATCCATTTATTCCTACTGCCCTATCCTTTCCCCACATCCTTTTATATTTTTCTTTTTCAAATATCTGTCAAATTCCGTTTTAATACCCAGTAAAGCAAACTGAAAACATAATTTATAAATATATTAAAAATAATTATTTAATTTTTCATTTTAGTTAGCATCAGTCTAGATACCTTTGCACTTAATGTATTTTTTTTCCCATTATTTCAATGATTTCCATTACATGAATTGTTTGATTGAAAGGGATGAAACTGCTTCATTGTTCTATTTAAAGGAGGTACTTCTTGGCTTCACAGAAGATTTGCCCCTTCACACATTTTGTGTTCGATTCAAGAGATAGTTTAAACCTTAAAACTATCAACTCAAGTGTTTTCATTAAATACTCCCTTGCAATGTCAGCCATTACCCTAATCAGTCCCTATAAGAAAGACACATCAAGATAAATTTAACATAATTTTCCTTAAATGTAATACATACAAGTTTGCCTTATCAGCTCTTAAGGCTTTGTCTTGCAGGGCTACTCTTCTGGCATTTACTAGCAGAACATTTTAAATCGGAACCCAATTTCAACATCGACTAAATAAAATGGTGGGCTTGTTATGAATACAATTTTAGGCTATAAATATAACTGAAATTTGCAGCTCAAAAAAATGTCTTTTGATGTAGAGAAAAGCTTTCATGCTTTCATTATTGGTGGGAAATGAGTAATGTAAGAAAACATAACGTATTTCTGCATCTCTTAAGACATAATAATGATGCAGAGGATGCTAAAAGATGCAATCTATACAAAATGATTACACCATCAAGGTTTCTCCTTTACATTGACTGGTGCACTTTTTTTTCTTTCAAAAAATATTATTTTGGCGCAGAACAGAAAAACAAAATTGGGGTACCTACCCACACATGTGGCACTTGTATTCGCGCACTCCCAGGTGCCGTTTGACATGATTCCGGGCATCTCCTAACTGTGCTGTGGCAAAGTTGCAGAGCGTACATCTGAATGGTTTGGATCCTGAGTAAAATGTAAAACGTCACCATTACATGTAATAATAAACAACTGGCTCCTATTAACACCAATAACAATGTGCTCCTATATACAATGCCTATAATAAAAGATGAACATTTTGTATTGCTTAGTGTTTTGGATGAGTTGGAAGGGCAGTGAGTAAAGCATTAGAGAAATTAGGCTCAAGGTGAAAAAAGCACGGATGAGGGTTTTGGCAGGTTTAGGTTCAAATGTAGCTGAAACCAATGGGAAGAAAGTCATCTCACAATGCTGACTGGAGGGTGAGAAATGAAATGAGTTTGACAGTCTAAGTCCAAATAGGTACAAGTCTATAGCATAAGAATGCCAACAATTTTGTACATGTTTTATCTCACTCAGAAGCTGTATGGATGATTGACAAGAATGAAAATATCGAACTGGGACACTTCAGTGGAAAGTAAGACAATTCAAGGATATAAAGACATGATCAAAGTCTATTTCAAAATAGGCAAAAACAGGTGTTCCAAAAGAGAGAAAATATAACAAAAAGCCGGAAAATCAAAGAGAAACGTTTATGCTATATCTAACTTAAATAACCTTGTATCTGATATTGTTGCATTTGGTATAGCACCTTATCACATCATCAAAACACCTCAAAGTACTTCACAGGATTTACTGTAAGTGTAATGACTATATTTGTAGATGAAAGTTATAGATTACATATTTTATCTAGAACACCAATTTACAACAACAACTTGGATTTATATAGCGCCCTCCACGTCGGATGGCGTCTCAGAGCGCTTTACAGTTTCGGATCCCGGGACCGAGCCAGGGGAAGGGGGGGGAAGGTGACCAAAGGCGCGGTCGAAAAGAAAGGTCTTCAGCAGAGACCTGAAAATGGGAAGGGAGGGAGCGAGACGAAGGGAGTGAGAAAGGCAGTTCCAGAGCCTCGGGGCATAGTGGCTGAAGGCACGGCCGCCGAGGGTGGAGCGGAGGACTCGGGGGACAAGGAAGAGGCCAGACCCGGAGGAATGGAGGCAACAGGTGCTGTTTTGAGGAGAGAGGAGGTCAGAGAGCTAGGGGGTGTGCAGAGGAGTGCAGAGACTTGAATACGATGGTGAGGATCTTGAGCCCTCTGTCAAGTGCTCTGGGATGCTATCCCGCATGAAGGGCGCTATAATAAATGCAAATTGTTGTTAGGGCAGATATAATACTTAAAGTTGCAAAGCTTTAATTTAGTCAATGTAAAAACAAGAATTTCTGTGCTTGGTATGCCATTACCGGGAAACAGAACATCTCAATAACTGACACACAAGGACTGGTGTGATGGGGGTACTGAGTTTTGTGCAAGTGAGAATACGGGTGGTCGAGTTCTGAATTAGTTGAATTTTGTGTATGGTGGAGCTGGGAAGACCAGCGAGGAAAGCATTGGAATAGTCCACTGAACAGATATCTTGCATTTAAGCCCTCTACCATAAGTTATTTTAGAGTACAGTATCATTCTGAATTGGAGCTCTATCTTCCACCATTTTATGGTGGGCTGGAAGTATTTTTCATGAGACCTGACCTAAATTCAGTTATTGAGATGTTCTGTTTAGCAGTAATGGCATACTGAGCACAGAAATTCTTGTTTTTACATTGACTAAATTAAAGCTTTGCAACTTTAAGTATTATATCTGCACTAACAACAACTTGCATTTATTTTAGCGCCCTTCACGCGGGATAGCATTCCGGAGTGCTTGACAGTGGTGGAGTCTGACACCAAGCCAGAGAGAGGGGGGGAAGTAACCGTAAGTACGATCAAAAAGGAAGGTATTTAGGCGGGATTTGAAAGTGTGGAGGATATGGCGGAGGGATTGAGGGAGAGAGTTCGAGAGTTTCGGGGCGTAGTAGCTGAAGACATGGCCACCAATGGTGGAGGTGAGTGGACAAGGGACAAACAGGAGGCCGGAGCCAGCCGAGCAGAGGCAGCGGGTGGGGGAGTGGGAGGGTAAGCTGATGGGATAAGCAAGGAAGTGCAAGTGCATGAAGGGATTTGAAAATGAGTGAGAGGATCTTGAAATTCATCTGTTCAGTGGAGTCTGGCAAGGACTGGTGCAATGGGGGTACTGAGTTTTGTGCGGGTGAGAATACGGGTGGCGGAGTTCTGAATTAGTTGAATTTTGTGTATGGTGGAGCTGGGAAGACCAGCGAGGAAAGCATTGGAATAGTCCACTGAACAGATATCTTTCATGCAAATAATTGGGCACTTTAGTAAATGTATTTTTAATATGCTGTTTTGGTTGAGAAATATGCAGAACTGTACAGGTGCTATATGGAACTGAGACAAAATATCCATAAAAGCTACACTTTAGATCACACATCTGAAGCAAATTCAATATTTGTGCAAATTGAGATTTACAAATAAATTATGTATTTATTTTTGAAATGTAGGTCAGCCATCATGGTTTCCAACAGAAAATAATTACAGCACAATTATTTTCTTGTGCAAAGAACGATAGAAATCCTTCACTGCAGTCGGACATTGAGGTTGAAAATCTATTGAGTTGCAGACAAGCTAGAAAAAGTGCCTCAAGGCTTAAAGTGAATCTCCAGCTGGAAAGTTCCTTGTGCGGCACACCAACTCACAGGACCTCAGCTCTGATGCAACCTTGGTTCCTTGCCGTAATCATAATAATCCTTGTATCTGATATAGTGCCTGATCACGTCATTGAGATGTCTCAAAGCGCTTCATAGAATACACTGTAAAGTAAATTGACTGCATGTTTTGTGGGCGAAATGCAGCAGCCAATTGTGTACAGCAGTGTCCCACACACAAACAGTCGTGGATTGAGTGACCAAATATTAATTTTTTTTGAAGGGTTTATTACTCCCGGAAAGTGATCCATCAGTCAACTAGCAACTGGGTTCTGCTAGGTAAACAGGTGTGTGGAGTAAGAAAATTTGCCAAAGGTTTCGCCTTCCCCGGGAATCAAACCTGGGTCCTCTTGCTTGCGAGGCGAGCACACGAACCAATTCGCTGCAGGACTCCATGAAGCATTAGAGCAATTCCAGTTAATGTCTTCTATAGAATGAAATTCAAAAGGGCTTCACACTTTGGCTTCTCAGTTCTAAACAATTAAATTGCAGAAATGATGCAACATTTTCAAAATCAAAATTATTTTCACTATTGTATTATAGATCCCCAAGTATGCAAAACTCTGTTACACCATGTTAGAAATAACACGCAAGCAGGATTGGACTACGAAAGTAGCAGTTTACAATTTGATTATTTGGGAAAGAGTCTGGATGTATAACTGTTTAATATTTTGAAGGATAATTTTAACCTTGTATAAGATATTTCCCAAATGCACTGGTACAGAATGTTAAAGGAACAATATGTACAATGCATATGGGAAAATATACAATGAAGAAAGGAGACATTGAAACCATAAGCATAGAGGGGCGATGAGAGGCACAGAACAGGCAGGCAAAAATAATCAACAACGTTGTTTAGGTTTTCCACACTGATTTAAATCTCAAGCACTAACCTCTTGTTATTGTGCCACTTGTGCAAAGAATTTATGCCCTGCAGCTCCTAAAGAGTCTTAAAACAAGAAGCTACATTTGAACTCTGGGATTTAATTCATTAGGAATTTTTTTTAAAAAAATAGGCAAGGCTGACCATTTATTATTAATTCTGACATGTGAGACAGGCATTTGGGTATGTAAAACGCACTGAGCACTTACCCCAAGGGCATGCGCTTGAAAAGGTTAATATTGAGCTCTGCCAATACTGTCCAACAACTTACTCCACTAGTACTATAAGACAGATGCTGAAACCAGCCAGCTTGAATTGAAAATTATGGGGTTTCTGGAATCTTTCATATTTAAAAAGGCCTAATTTGGCACTCGGGGAGGAAAATAGGAGCATGTTTCACTCAGCAAAAATTCTGAATAAAAATCCACAAGAACATTGAGATGAATGTGGTCAATTACTATGGCTTTCACACCATTATGAAAGGTGTCATTTCATGGTAAACGCTATAAACAATGTCAGTTTCAAATGGAAAAAAAATGATTTATCTTTAAGTATTAGGTAGGCCAGCAAATCTTCACATCCTATGTTGATTGCACTGCACACCAACTCAACTCTATGTAAAAGTGTTTACAAAACCAATTATAGATAAGAATAAACAGCATACAATTACATTTTAGTAATGACTATGCTAATTACCCAGCTAAAAATGCAAGCAATTGTTTTAGTAATTTTAAGTGATTTTTAGATGTCCAATTATCTTATGTGTTTAAGAAAACAAAATGGTGCTAAACATTTTGATGAAAGGTAGGTTATTACAGCTGTCATAGTACAACTGTCATAGTGCCACTGAAGTTCATGAATTCTACCGAGGTGTTGTCAAGTGAGTTTTAGGTTTACTGATGATTTTTAAATAAATAGACAATTCTCTAATTTAACACTTTTGCATAACACAATTACTCATATTTTTGTCTTCTGGGAGTGTAACCTTTCTATTTCCAAGTTAAAGGTTATAGTTACAGATATTTCTGGTGTGTCCATCAGAAATGACAAATCACCACATGTCATCAGCCAATTCTGATTTCCAATTACAAACAACGATCCTATTAATCATGGAGATAGTTATATACAAGGTCTGCCATGAATGAAAACCAAGAAATATTTGAGCTGACCCAATACCACCATAGAGAAGAGGCTGAAAGAGCATTCAGATTATTAAAACAAACTCATTTTAACTGTAAATGTTACTTTTGAATGTTCAAACCTGAATCTTTTTTTTATAATGATACATTACTCAAATAATACTCGTCTGCCGGATGGTAAGACGAACTACTATTAAAATGCAACAGTAAAGCTGATGGCACATTCTTTGTATAAGATCATGTCATTGAGGTAAATATTACTTATAACAAGTCTACAACGTTGGTATTTTATTATCCCCTATCTATTTCACACAGCTAATTAGTTTCTAGTCTCACTACCCAAATATTAGAGTCCATTTTGACATGAT